TGTTCACAGTTTCCACGGGATAATGCCAGTGGGAAATACTATTTTAATATAATGTTCAAGCTGATCTGAAAACCATTAACAAAATTGCAGAATATATTTTTCTACAGAATAGCTTTAAGTTAACCCTCTCGAGAGGCAGTTAATCGTGACTCTCATTCATTACAACCCCCTTGGACAGAAAACAGAATAAAAATGGAAAACAGTAGAGTTGAAATTACTGGAGGCGCTCTTTGCACGATTGGATGGAGACCCCAGTTCGCCTATGCCAACGTTCGATGGTGCAGGCTGGCTTAATGAGATCAAGATCCTAAAATGTAAGGACGACCTCTCACTATTATGGGTAAAGGAAGGGGTTACAAGAAGGTGTTGGGAGGGTCAACAACTCCAGCAAGGTGGATGGTAGCCAAGACTACATCCTTCAATTTGATAAGTCGGCTGGAAATATATTGTACTAAAGGTTCGGGAAGATGGTGTGTGGTGTAGGCAGCATGTACACGCCAGCGGAACGGGAGGTGGAGAAGGATCTAGGAGAAATCCTGGATATTACACTGAAGCTCCAAGATGCAGGCAAGGGAGAGCCGGAGATTCAACCCGACTCCGAGAAGAAACCCGAACATAACAGTGAAGGTTCTTTAAATAAATCTGCATAAAACTTAAATCGCCTCTGCCGAACTCCTCCTCAATTCAAAGAGGATCGGCTACGGTGCAGCTTTAGTTCAGGAACCATGGATAGACTCGGGAAACATGGTATTTGAACTCAGGTTGGCAACTTACTTTCCGAGTGCAACAAACAAGGTGAGAAAAGCCATACTGGTAAAGAAAAGTATGAATTCATATATTGATCTAAATTTCTCTTCAAATGACCTGACTGTAGTAGTAAAGGATGACAAGGATGAGACGCTACCCCTTGCATCCTGTTACATGTCACATAAAGCGCCATCAGCAGAACTTCGGATGTTGGTGGATACAGCAGATAAAGCAGATAAAGCTAAAAGACCCCTGGTGATAGGCACAGACGCTAGTATGCACCACACAGCATAGAGAAGCAGGAATACTGGCGAAAGAGGTGAGTCTTTACTAAACTTTATAATGATTAGCAATTTAGCAACAGCTAACCGGATGAAGGAACCAACATATAATATATTGACCGTCAAACGAAGAACGTACTTGATATAACAATGCATACTAGCAAAATAATAAATGTCGAAGATTGGGAGGTGCTTCGTAAGAATACTAAATGGAATCTGTACAGGAAGATAGTAATAAGGAATTTAAATAGACTCGAGGAATGTGACACAATATTTGAACTAAAGGAATGGACAGTGACGCTCACTAACATTCTCACGTTTTGTATCGCGTGCCCTCCAGTACATGCAAAGCGTGGATCGAGACCACCTTGGTGGAACAAGGAGCTCGGATCACGTAAGTGTAGTGTTAAGAAGCTATTAAAACTGGCCAGGATGGCCGATGAAAAAAACTGCTGGAGGGAGTATAAAGATGTACTTAATGAGTATAAAAATGAAATTCGCAAGGCCAAGAGGTAGTCGTGGAAGAGCTTCTGCGGGAAATTAGAAAAGACAACCGAGGTAGCCAGGCTTAGGAGATTATTATCAAAGCACCCGACCATCCAAAGGTTACTACGCAAAAAATGTGGAACGGACAAGTCCAGGACTGGATGCAGTAAGGAATCACTGGTAAACCTGGTAAACACGCATTTTTCAGGGTCTAAAGGCACTATAAATCCCCAACCTTAAGAAGATAGCGTAGAGTAGGTCCCGACCGACATCATACTATTGCAATCAACGGATTTGAACCGTTTCAGTCCCCTGGTATGGACGGTATTTTTCCAGCCATGATTCAGAATATATCAACAGCGCTGGTACCTTACCTGATCACAATATACGAAGGATATTTAAAGCTTAATTATCAAAGATTATCAAAAGTGCCATCCGTCTGGCTACCGAACAAGTGCAGGAAATACGGTAGTCACTAAAAACGATATACAATGAAATTTCCGAAAGGGCTGACAGGCGGATCAGGGCGAGATGGAATGCCTTAAATACAAGCAAGATCGCCAAGATCCTGTGCAAGAATCCCGTAAAAAAAATTGCATGCTTTTTACACGCACGGTCTCGAAAGGACTGCCAGACGGTTTTTGGCCTTTTCACAGGTCACAACCCGCAGGCATCACATGTGAGCCGGATGGGTATAAGTAACGACAATGCAAAAAGTGCAGAGAAGCAGGCAAGAGCGAGACGCTGAAACACCTGATGTGCCTCTATCCAGCACTATCTAGAACTCGTCTTAAATGTTTAGGAGCTTCGCAGTTCAAATGACTAGATGAAGTATTAAACTTATATATCAAGTTGCTCTTAAAGTACGCAAAAAGCGTTGACGTCCTGTATGACGAATACTTCACCTCAAATTAAACAGACCCTCCCTCTTACATTACTAAGGACCAGTTTTAAGTTAATTCCATAGTGCCATATTCCTTGTAAAAGAAGATTTATGAAAAGAAGGAAATAATACAAGCAACGAAGTACCATGTTGGGGTTTCATTATTTAACTCAAATAAACTCCACCGCAGGGGCTTAATTTATTTGGAATTCAATATAACAGGGATATGAGGTATAAACGAGAGTCTAAACCAATTTCACACGGACACACTGATTTTAGAAAAAGACGCTTTCAAGATTTCATTAAGATATCTCACATAATATATTACGCTGTAAAGTCAACCGGTAGTGTGAAAACCTTTATCGTAGGTATATCTATGAGGTCTATTGGAAATATTGACTGGATTTAACTATTTGTAACACAAGTCCAAATTTGGACAGCAAGAGAAATTTTAATAATATGCGTATAAACATTTGATACTCTTGCAACTTGCAAAGACGAAAACCCGGGAAACACCTTCAGGTGTTGCCAAATTTTATAAGAAACAAGGGAAAGTATCGCTGTGATTTCATCCATTTAAGGCAAGATGATGCACCATTATAAGTAAGTAAGTAAAGTAAGCGTGGTTATTGTCTGATTTTACCCGTTTTCACAGACTTTTAAGACATGCTAACATGATTTCTTCTCAGCAAGTTTTATTGATTTAGCGTTTGCGATTTGAAAACACCCACGATTAAAAAATGTTTAACCTAAAGGTGTCCCTAGCTACTTTGATCTCCTGTACTAAATTACCGTTTTGTATCTTAATTTAGTGCTTAGTTATGGGTTTTCTTTTAATGGTCCGGCAGTAGTCCGATTCTGCTCATCTCCACTACGAACATCCCTTGGGAATATGTCTACCAAGTTTCATCACAATATCTAAATTTTCACTCAAGTCATCGGCTGCACAGACAGACGGACGGTCAGACAGTCACTCGGAATTCAACTCGTCTCGTCATCCTTATCCTGAATATAACTATTATACTCTGTAGCAATATGTAAAAAAGGTATAAAAATTTTGTTTCTTCTAAAACCACCGAAGTGTAATTTAATGGATTTTGATGTACAATTTTAACTTTTAACTTGTGGTATTAGTCAGCTTTTAACTTACTTTAACGCTGTAAAAAAAGGGGTATAATTAATATCTGGTATGCCTTCATCTGACGAAATGAAAAGAACGCACACTTTATCTCCTTGGTAATTCTGCCTTTATCCCCCTGATTTGGTCGTTAAACAATTTTCCTTGAACAATTTGACCCTCCGCGATGTCAAATATCATTTTATATCATATCGTTTTGAAGACGAAATAAAGCTAATATATTTAAATGTTGTGGCCAAGAATTTAGCTTTATTACAATGATAAGGGTTTGCCCGCCAAGTAACCGCGCAGCACCTGGGGCTTATGTCAGTACTAATGCGCGGAATATTCTCTTCCAAGGCGTCAATGGACACGGGCTTATCTGCCTAGACAAGCGGATTCACATAACCCCAAAAAATAGTGTGTTAAATCGCACGATCTTGGAGGCTACGTCACATGCCCACGACGCGCTCACCAAAAGTTTCCTCCTATATATTGATTGTTTCGTTGGCTGTATGTCATGTAGAGCCGTCATGTTGGAATCAAAGGTCGTCCAATTTAGGCACAAAAAAGTCATAAATTATAGCTTTAAAGCGTTACCCATTGCATGTTCATTTTTGAAAACTTTTTGAGAATGTAACGGCGTCTCAAGAACGATTTGTGGACTATCATCACCACTCAACCAAAAGTAAGCTTCATTGCTGAACAAATATTTCTTCTGAAAATCAGGATAGGTAATCGGTAATAAATTTGCACGATTTGAAAAGGTTGTTCTGGAATAAGTCTGTTCATTACTAAATGGCAAACAAAACTGAGTATGAATTAAGTAACAGTTGTCAAAAAAATCAAGATGTATTGCCTTATTGAAAGCCACACGTCTAAAAAAACAACTTATACTCATACATATATCTTTTATGACCGGCTATTAGTATTTTTCACAGCAGGCTTCAGAAAATGGTTGACCTTGCACCAGTCAGTGTTGTACTTTTGCATACTAAAGGTGTTTCGTTCTTAAATTTTTCAACGAGTCCACAGCTCTGCCATTCCCAAAACGTATATCTGATGTAAATAGATTCATTAACACGGCAATCGGTTATACGTGATCAGAACGGCCGCAAAGTTGTATGTCAATAAAAATTCTGTCAACAGTAGAAAAATGGGACATGTTTTCAGTTGATTCAATAACAATAGATTCATCGAGAATATGGTCAACAATTGGGATAACAGAAGTCATAAAAATACACAGCAGTGTATCAAAATGGTGCATTTGCAACGAATTGGGTTCGGGAGCGTAGACTATAGGCAATGCTCCAGCAAAAAACCGTCGTCGCATAAAAATATCCAGAGTAGAGTATATATTTCATAAGAGTATATACTTAAGATCTATATTAATAATCTTATATACCAATAGAAAACTTTTAAACCTTTTTTTTTATAAATTATTTTGCTGTTGTGGAAATTTTATTTTATTTATTTGTACACATACCTGATCAGTAAAATTATCCGTGTGAAAAAGCACTTTGACATAGTTGGTCTCACTGATGAAAGTCTGCGGCTGCTCGGCCTCGCCACAAAACATGCCGGGTTCACGACGATTGGATACATCCGTCTTCGCATTGCCATCGACAATCTATAGAGAGAAGAAATGTACAAAAATACAAGTGTACACATGGAAGAAAATGTGGAATAAAAAACAAATAACCCGATATTAAAAAGTGAAGTCAACCCTGCCCTGCAAAAATCTGTGTGTTTCAAAGTACAGCCGCAAAAGAACTTAAAAGTTTTTAGGACGTGCATAAATTTCGAAAATGTTTATCTTCGTAAGTTTGATATATGCGATTTTCAGCAATTTCATTTACCTTCACTTTGTATGACATTGCCTTTGCTGTGCAAAGGAAAACCAATCACTATTGCTTTTACTGGGTGATTATTGTTGTAGCTAATTTGTTGCGCCTACTTTAAGGGCTCTAGAGTAAGCTAATGGGATTGAGCAAAGTAGAAGAATTCCAAGCGCAACTTTATATAACTGTATATGGTTAGGATTACATGGCTATGGTTTAGTATTTTTTCACATACTGCTATTGCCCCAGCAGTTCCATATGTCATAATTTCAGTAGCCGGTCTCTGGCCAAATAAAAGAAGAACAAACAAAAAATTATATTCCACTACTCACTGCCGAATACTCAACCCAAAGTATTACAAAGCGACAAAGCAGAGCTACAAAGATATAATAAAACAAGTAAGGAAGGTCTAAGTTCGGATGTAACCGAACATTTTATACTCTCGCAAGGTCAAATGGTATACTCGTTTGAGATTTCTTTGTGGATTGACTAATATTTTCGGTAGAAGGTCAACTATAGGCACTGGGGTCCACATATTTAGTACTTAGGGGTTTGAACAGTTTTGGTTCGATTTAGACAATTTTTGGCCGCAAGGTGGCATACTTTAATTGCATTATTCACGCAAAGTTTTACCCCGATATAATCATTTTTACCTGATTTGCATAGTGGAAAGTAAAAGAAGCAAGTGGTATTTAAAATGGTGTCATATGGAAAATAGGCGTGGTTGTAATCCGATTTCGCCCATTTTCGCACTATGACATAGAAACATGAAAAGAACGTTACGCACCGAATTTGGTTGAAATCGGTTAAGCAGATCTCAAGATATGGGTTTTCACCTAAAAGTGGGCTGTGCCACGCCCACTGTCTAATTTTGAACGCGGTTCCTATAAAGTCATCTTATACCATCTCAGAGATGAATTTTAATGTCTCTGGCGTGTTTAGTGCTTGATTTATCGCGCTTTTAGTAGTTTTTAACAGTACCGTTATATGGGGAGTGGGCGGAGTTGCCACCCGATTTCAACTATTTTCACACCGTCAATAGAAGTGCTAAAAACATTTGCTTCCAGTGAATTTTGTTATTACAGCATTAGCGGTTTAGGAGATATGCACATTAAACCTATTAGAGGCGGGACCACGCCCACTTTTGAAAAAAAACTTTTAACTGCAGATGCCCCTCCCTAATGTGATCCTGTGTACCAAATAACAGTCTTGTATTTTATTGCGGAGCTTAGTTATGGCAAGTTATTTGTTTTTGATTAATGGCGTTTTGTGGGCGTGGCAGTGGTCCGATTACGCCCATCTGCAATACCAACCGTCTCACGGTACCATGAAACATGTCTACCAAGTTTCATAAAGATATCTCAATTTTTACTCAAGTTAGAGCTTGCACGGACGGACGGACAGACGGACGGACGGACAGACAGTCACCCGGATTTCAACTCGTCTCTTCATCCTGATCATTTATATATATATAACCCTATATCTAACTCGATTAATTTTAGGTGATACAAACAACCGTTAGGTGAACAAAACTATTATACTCTGTAGCAACAGGTTGCGAGAGTATAAAAACTTTAGTCTATCAGCAAGCGCATATAGCGTAGGTATGGAAGTTCAACACCCATATGCACTTCAAGTGCTTTTCACTGCTGGTCGATCCAACGAAGCTAAGTACTCATAAATTACTGAATGCGTTTGCTGGTTTTTGTGTTTTTTTCAACCGGACGTTGCGTCCAATGCGCTTGTCCGCGTCCATAAATCAGATTTTCCCGAGTGGTGGTAGTTGCTTTCAAAAAGTGGCGCATGCATATGAACCATTTGAACTTATTGCATGTTTCAGACGGCGCAAAGACAAAAATATTGTGCAAATAATACAAGCTGTTGCCGGTGTTACGAGTACTACATTTGCAAACAAAATATATCAAAAAACGCACAAACAATCTGTTTGCTTGCGCGAAAATTTTTGCTAACGGCACTTTTAATATTGGCTCGACACGCAAAAGTATGCCATAAATTGCATTGAGTGCTCGCCAGCGTGTCTAACTACCGCTCTTATGCTCTCCACTACTCTTTACACTATACATATATGAGTATTGTTCAATTTTCCAGTCTCACCTGTAAATAGCCACCCTCGCAGTGTGTTGCGTTCAGCAGTGTGCCAACTTTAAATTTTTTAAAACGCAACCGCAATACAAAATCGCGCGGTGCACCTTTCAGCGTACGGAAGCGGTACCAGCAGGTTAACGGCCGGCCTACATTCAGGCTATTCACCTCCGGCGAACTGACATCCTCGAAGATGTCCACCGTTTTATTGCACTGATCCTTGGTGAGGTCGGCTGCGCCGCTGCCTGCAATGAGGTTTAGGAAAAGGAAGTATGTGAACAAAAGTAAATATGCGTGTACATAAAGAAAAGTGGGAAATTAAAGTGAAGTTGACATACTTTTAGGCGCATTAAAATGTTAGCACTGAAGAGCTTACAGTTGTTGAGTTTGTATATATAATTGGGCATATTTTATACTCAGTTCCCTAGAGACACCAGCCGAAATATGCTTATGAATTTATCATACTTTGGGGAATACTTAATTCAGTCTCGAGTCGAAGGATTATGTCTAAAATTCAGCACATTTGTAGTTTTTATTGAGTTTTAGAGTTTAAAAGTCTGCCGGACTCTTAACCCCTCATCCAATGATATCTTAGAGACCATATGAATTATTTTTGCTGCTTCTTAATTTTTTCTCCGTAATGATACCTATATTTTTAAGCGAGTCGGGCCAGTATTGGAATAAATGATTTAAGACGTTTCGCGGAGTCATTTACTTTTAAGACGCTGGACAGCTTGAAATAGAATGCATTTCGAAATTTGCATCGCTTGAGTATGAGATTATGACTCACGTAGAGTGGTTTTCATGGCCAATAATACAACACTTGCAATATGTCCCGCAATGTATATGAGAAGAAAAAATAATTGTTAGGCCTTAAGGTTGTATATTGGACTAACGATAGACATAGAAATATTTACTCATTTTGAAGTTATTGAGGTTAAAAGTTTATCGTCACGAAGCTCTATCTAAAAAATTTACGACCAAATCTTATAATTTTGTAAAAAGGCCTCACCAATAATTACTCAAAGCTGTAGTTTAATATCCTTTGCATGCTTTAAGTTACAAACCTAGTTTATTTTTTACCAAATAGAAAACATTTATTAAAGTTCTATTTTATAGCCAATCGTTCTACTTATATTATACATTATATATACTACAATTAATACTAATATTACCTTTGCAAGCTTTTAGCGGCTTATAAGTTATATTGCGACATATTCTTCTTTATGTTAAAAAGCAACAGCTTTAAATCAAATAGCGAACACAATATTTTTAATTCAAGTTTCGAAATTCAATTTCAGTGAAAGAGTTATTAAAAACTGCTACAAAAAACTTTTCGTTGTTAAAACCTAACCTACTTGTCGCTCAATACTATCGAAAATAGTTTGCAAAATGTCTGCATATTTTTGAGTGTATCGTCCGCTTTTTTTGATTGTCATTTTCGTTATTAAACGAGCAGTAGAGCATGTTGTGCGCCGCGAAAATTGCTGTTAGCTTCAAATGTCTAATTCAGCTTGTCAGATTATTACTCGAGCTCTATGCAGTGGTGGGCGTTTTTCAATCTTTTCTTCTTTTTATATTTATATTTTTAATTCTTTATTTCTGCTAAAGTTGATTGTGTGCTATTTATCGTGGTGTTTGCAGCCAGCTCATCATGATTTTTGTTGAAAAGTGAGTTAGTGTATAAAAATAATGAAAAATATAAAAGACCACTACGCCGGCAAACGCAGCTATTTTTTAGCTCCTTATTTACATTCTAAAATTAATTTATATTTTTTTTCAGGCGTTCAACACTCCGGTTCTCAACGCGTTTGCCGTTCAGCGCTATTACAGGCACTCAGCTGGACGCGTGTAGCATACCAAATTGTGTATTGTGTGCTCCATTTTTTTGCCGCTTATGGACTTCATCATTGTCCTTAATTTATTTTGCGGATTTCACAAATGAACAAAGAACATTGTGCTGAATTTGTAATTCACGTTGCTGTCTTTTGTGTGTGTTTAGACCACAAAAACCGCGCGTCGCGTACACAAAACCGCAAGCAGTATTCCACAACTCCTCCGCAAAGTCCATCAATTGAAACTCCAGCGAATTGCACTCAACAGCTTGAGTTGTTGAGTTGAGTCGTTGTGTCGCAGTGCCGTTTTGAATGGCACAAAGAAATACCGCAAATGTTGGCAGCAGAGAAAGCAGTCGTTATTGGTGGTGGACCAGGCTGTTAACGTCCACTAGCATACCCTATTTATTTTCTATTCTCCTCCCTGCAAAAACGTCAATTCGCGTGCCCTTCAAAATTCGCAAGCGCTAAATGATTTTTTCCTACTTCGTTTTGCCATCTCTAGAAAAAAAATCAAAATTGAAAAGGCGCTCAGTGACAAGCGCGCTATGAAAAAAATATTAGCAATCAGCTTTTGGTATTGAATTGTGTATTAGCAAGAATGCGGCGAACAGCGGAAATATTTTGCGAGTTTATTACTTAGCGAGTTTGTTACTCCTTTTGGTTAGAGACAGTAAAGGACTGGATTAAATTGTGCTTTTGGTTGTTAAAATACAGGAAATAAAAACTGATGTTAAACTTTTCTCTAACATTTTCAAAAAAACGTTATTTTAAAGTTGGTATTCTAAGTCTTAAGCTTTTGGTTCTGAAATGCAATTAACTCCATAAATGGCGAAAGGGGACTGTAAAAATATAAGCTGACTTCATACCATATATATCAATGCGTGAGTTACCGTAATGAATCTCAGAGAACATTCTTTTCTGTTAATAATATGTCTTGATGCTAATATTTGATAAAACCGGGTCAATTCTATTACCTAATATAAGAATTTCAAACAACTGTTGGCTTTATATAAAAATTAAGTTAAAGTGTAATATTGGAATTACTGTAGTTTTACACCGAAGCTAATTACTCTAGCTCCCATATACCGAAGATATCGGTCAATCAAACTTTAAACTCTTTGTATTTTAATAGTAAAAATGTGTGATCGTGATATATGTGATAATGTAATTAGGAGAACAAGTTTTACTATTATAAAGTGGTTTAACGCTGAATTAGAACGAAAGTGGTCTATAGCTTGGTTTTAATCCCATAGCCTTAATATGTTGACTTTCAATTCTCTGAGTTTATATCCCATCTTTCTTATTTCAGTAAATAAGATTGATTCATTGAATTGATACCGAAAGTGCGATAACTCACTAAAAGAATGAGCTACAAACATTAAATTTCATAGCCAGGATAGGGTCTTATGGGAGAAAGTATAAAAATTAAACAACGGGCGTGACACCGCCCACTTTTAGGTGAAATCCTATACCTCAGAGACTACTTAACTAATTTCAATCTAATTTGTTGTGTAAGATTATCCTATTATTACTATTGCACACTATGGAAATGAGTAGAATTGGTTGCAAACCACGTTGATTCTTTCACTTTACATTGAGCAAATCCAACATCAATGAAATTAGTACCAATGCATATGGCTGATTTGCAAAAATTGTGCCAAAAATGTGCGATATCGGGTCAATAGGATCTCTTTCTAATAACAGTGTATCTTATTACCTGTGATAGTAAATAATGAATGCAATACTTATTTTTTTAATCAAAATATGTACAATGGCCAAAGAAAGTATTCGACATATGCATTTTTTTTTATTTTTGAAATATTTCTTAATATAAACTAATAAAAGACCAAAACTCAGTGTTTTTTAAAGCAATAATTTATTTAGTTTGTAACTTGATGAGTTTTATGATATTCAAAACAACAAAACTAACCAAAAAAGCACAAAAACTAAGTTACCCCGAAAATTAAAACAAGAAAAATATTCGACAATTAAGCAAAAGAACGAATTCCAATGATTAACGATAAAAAGTAGCTATCGGTTTGAATATTTTGCTTAACATTGTTTTGCAGTAAATAAGTGATTTTGCAAAAGCGTACATAAACAACCCCCCTGAATTTTGGAGTAATGTGATCTTTGCAGATGAGAGCAAATTTAATCTTTTGGAATTGTGTACAGGAAACCCAAAACAGAGCTGGAAGAGCGAAATACAGTGGCGACTGTGAAACATGGAGGTGGAGGCGTTATGACTTGGGGGTGTATGTCGGCAGCAGGAGTTGGAAAAATGGAACCAATTCGCCATGCAATACATTGGTATTTTGAAAAAAAACTTGCGAACTAGTGCAGAAAATCTCGGAATCGGAGCGACTTTCCAGTTTTACTAAGACAACAACCCGAAGCATTCCGCATTACATACAAAGCTTTGACTTTTATACAATTTCCATGGAGTAATTAAAACTCCTGCTCAAAGTCCAGTTCTAAATCCCATAGAGCATCTATGCGATAATTTAGAAAGAAGACTAAGACAGCTCCATTTTACGAGCAAAACCCAAATGGAACAGATACTAATGGAAGAGTGGTACAGTATAGACACGTCCATAACAAGAAAGTTGTTTGAATCAATACCAAGACGTTCAAAAGAAATAGTCCGAAGAAAAGAGAGAGCTACGCGAAATCAAAAAGTGAATTTTTGTTTTTTAACTTGAATTTTACATGAATTGTCGAATATTTTTTACTTTTATTTTTGAAGTAATTCAGTTTTTTTGCTTTTTTGGTTAGTTTTGTTGTTTTTATTATCATAAAAGTCATCAAGTTACAAACTGAATAAATTATTGCTTAAAAAACACTGATTTTTGGTCTTTTATTAGTTTATTTTAAGGAAAATTTCAAAAATAAATAAAACAAGTAAGGAAGGGCTAAGTGCGGATGTAACCGAACATTTTATACTCTCGCAAAGTCAAATGCTATACTCGTTATAGATTTCTTTGAGGATCTTGCCGCTTTGTTCTTGTTTACCGATATTTTCGGTAAAAAGTCAACTCTAGGCACTGGGGTCCACATATTCAGTACCTAGGGGCTTGAACACTTTTGGTTCAATTAAGATAATTTTTTATCACAAGATGGCATACTTTATTCACGCAAAGTTTTATCCCGATACAGTCATTGTTGCTTGATTTGCATAAGGAAAGTGAAAGAATCAGATGGAATTTAAAATGATGTTATATGGGAAAAAGGCGTGGTTGTAATCCGATATCGCTCATTTTCGTACTATAACATAGAAATATGAGCACAATATTATGTGCCGAATTTGGTTGAAATCGGTTAGGCAGATCCCAAGATATGGGTTACCTAATTTTGAACGTGGTTCCTATAAAATCATCTTATACCATCCCAGAGATAAAATTGAATGT